ACACTAAAGAAAAAAAATATAAAAGATAAAACGAAGGCAATTAACCTACACAATTTTCTCCTAAATTCCATTAAACCTTAAAGCAAAAACCAACAACAACAACCACAACCACAAAAGCTCTTCATTTCCTTACAAAGGAAGAGAACAATGTTTAGGGTATGCGGGAGGCCACAGCTCACGAAGTCATACCGTGACACAAATCGAATTTACCTTTCATAGCGCTGTTTCATCTTCTTGCAAGCATAGTAAGTACCATCTCGAATATCCTGAACTTTCAGGACTTCCGAGAAGGTACCTTCCCCTTTCTTGCCGAGGATACGGTATTCTACGGAGCGAAATAAGTTCAGAAAATATGAGAAACAGCGCGCGCTTAGAACGCGGTCGACGATGAAGTGTAATCTTCGACCGAACATTTTACACGTGAAGCAACATCAATCTTTCACTTACTTTGCATTTCCTTCGGCTTGGGTGAATCTATACAGTCATTGTTTACGGATATGATAAATACATATATTGAATCCACAACCTCTTAAAGATCGGCGCAAGCGGTAAATAAGTTATTACATAAATTCAGAAACACCGAAGAGAACTGCTACAATTGTTTGCCCACGAACTTCCCTGAGAGCGGAGTTTGCGTATGACGTAGTCGCCATAGTAACATTAACAAACTAGCGGACTGGAAAAGTGAGTCAGATTTGTACATGCCTACAACAGAAAAGACTTAAAGCTTAAATAGCAGCGCTTGATCGGTTGGAAAAACATAAAGTTCTATTTAAATCTAGGCAACAATGAACTGGAATTCTTGATGGTTTTTTTCAAAATGGATTCTTTAATGTGTGTGAGGTCCAATCGATGCTATACGCTGTATTTTTTAACTCTCGACTCCAATGAAACGCTGTCAACTTAAGTTCCATTTTGATGAAATGTTTGATGCAAATAAAGGAAATATCTCCCCTTTGAAAACGAGTAAAACAAATTTACCCCTAATTTAGCCCCATCTAAGATTTGCCTTGCTCCCAAAGTGTGGATTCGTAGTACAGTTGGTAAATAGCAAGAGACATGCCACTACTAAATCAGGAAACACGATGTAAACAAATTCCAGAAGCAATTATCCGTGTCTTTAAATGTTTACGCCCTTAGAGACATTCTCAGCAAAGTTTTATTCCAACGAGGAAGATGATGCACTTTAGAATATCTGCCGAAAACTTGCCCTCTCGGAGATGGCATTAATCTGGATAATGTTTAAGGTCTCTTTTTTTACGTAAAGTTCCAAGCCAAAAAATCCTCTTTTCTATTTTTTTGGACTGATAAATTTTTTGTATTTTCTACAACTCCCCGAAATGCAACCAGATTAAGAAAAAAGGAATAGCGCCATTCAATCCCGCGTTATCGAGGGAAAAAAAAAAACAAATAATGATTAAAACAAAACAAAACAAAAGGAAAACAGTGCATCATTACGCTTTCACAGTCTGGATTTCAACGAAACTTTATTTTCACTGTTCTCTTATAGGAAGACAGGAGGGTTAACTTTTACGTCACACGTTCAATAATTTCTACTGAAAGAGTTATGTAGAGTAATAACTCCTCAATTCCTGCATTCTCAAAGGTACAAAGTTTATAAGACGAGGCTTATTGAAGCTGTCAAGCCACAACCATGCTCAGAAGCAAAATTGTTGAACGAGACTTGGCTGTCACATGAGTCCTTCATCTCCTCGCATTCTACCCACCATTGCATCCTCATCACAATGTGTTCCCATGGTCTAAAACGAGGAAAAAGGAAAAGAAAACTGTCGCAAAACCATAACCAGAGTTGCAAACGCCACATAGCAAAAAGTTATTTACAAGGAGCCGGTGAGAACTTCAAAGTAAAAACTGACAAAATGTGTGGAGCGCGGGAAAACGCGGGAAAACAAGTTGTTGTCTTCGCATTTGATTGGTTTAGAGGATGGCGTGAGTTTCTCAAGGGGCTGATGGACCAATCAGATGCAACATCGAAACAACGTTAGTGACTTGACTGCTTTTCCAGCGCTTCAGGCAAAGTGCTTGGTTTCATTTTGATTGATGATTGGCTTCTTGTAATTTTCAACTTTGTTCTGATTCGCTGTGTGATCAACATCACATTGTTTTACATTTAAGGAAACTCAATCGATATGCACTCAAGCAACGAAGGGAAACGTTTGATTATTGCAGAATTTCTCACTTGCGTTGCTAAGAATTCTCGCATACGCTGATTTACTGAATACTTTTGGGATGACAAATGCACACAGCAATATATCGACATCGACGGGAATCCAACAAGGAAGACTACTCTCAAACACAAAATTTGTATTACCTTTTGAACGTACTGTGGGTTTGTGGACAGCTCTCGGTCCATATGTTGTAGCTTTTCGTCAAGATGCTGGAATAGCCGCATCTGCAAAGAGAACAAAGAAGCTTCATTTTCCACTACATCAATGACGATAAACAAAAAAAATTTTAGCCTGTTTTTCCTCAGGTTTTCTCATTAGCAATCTGTGATGCCATAGTATCTAAGTAATCAAAACCTCCCCTGCGCCACACGCACGCACTCGAACGCACAAGCGCACGCGCTTGCTTGCACACGCACACGCACGACCAGTTATACCTCATTGTCTAGCTTTTTCAACATCTTAGGGTTGTTGTACTTCTCCGGATTTTGATGAAAGGAAACCATTCCATCTCGCTGATTAATGCTTGCATATATGTCCCCATCCTCTATCTGGAACGACAGGAGAAATTTTGCTCAAGGACTTTAATTAAATACGGGTCTGCTGTTTGGTCACATTTCACTGCGAAAAATATTACTAAATTGGAAAGAATACAACGTCGTGCTACAAAGTTAATTCTAGAATCTGATGACGACTATGAAGTTTGTACCTCTAAACTTCATTTACTGTCTCTAGAGCATAGACGATTTTTTTTATGTACTCTTTTTTATATAAAGCTTTGAACGGATACATTAATTTAGACATGTATTCATATGTCCAATTCTATTCTAATACTGATAGGTACCCCCTAAGAAGTAAAGACAGTCTCACTTTAAAGAAGAACTATGCTCGAACAAACACGTTTAAATTTAGTTTTTTTCAATCGTATTGTGGATATGTGGAACTCGCTTCCATTTCACGTCAGATCAGCATCTAGCATTCCAAGTTTTAAGCGTGATGTGATAAATTTCTTATTGAACAACTGAATAGGCAATTTAATTGTAAATTGTACTTTTATTTCTTCTTTCTCCTTGTATATTTATTATGTATATCTTTTCATTAGCTGGGTGGTCTGTCTGAGCATGGCGTCTTTGACTCTTTTACGGACTATCCCTATGGCATGTCTTTTTTCTTTCTTTTGTTTACTATGTTTCCATTAAATTGTTAAATAAACAAATAATAAATAACTAAATAAAAAGGTTTAAGAACACGCTGTGTGTGTGTTTTACGTTGCAAGAACAGTACCATGAAATTTGAGGTTCAGCAGTCCCTTTCCATAAGTGTCCTAAACTTTCACCAGAGCTTATTATAGGTGATGATAACGGTTAATCAAACGAAAGAAAATAAATCTTTCAATAAGTTTAGCGGCTACAAAACAACTTCGGCGGCAAACTGCCACGGAAGCGCGGGAAAACGCGAGAGAGACCAAGCCGCCATTACATCTGATTGGTTGAAAGCGTGGCTGGAATTTTCTAAACCAATCAGAAAGCCAAGTAACAAGTGTAGTCCAATGTAGTCCCACATTCATAAACTGTGTCCAGACATGAAAAGTATTTTTAGAAATACAGTGCAAATATTGTTACCATGTTGAGTATGTACTGTTCGGCTTCCTTAGGACTGCTTAGTTGTACTCTGTTGGCCATGTCTGACAAAGACAGGGTTAAAAACGTCTGGTAAAAGAAGGAAAACAAAAGTAAAGGACATTTAAAAACTACCAGAGAAGGAACGGACCCTATCCAGTCAAAGAACTTTCTAATGTCCAACACTCCTGCATTGGAATGCAATGGATGCAAGTCTCCAACTAAAACTGTAAGTTGTAACTATGCATGAATGTGATATGAAGTGACAATTATACATACCTTTGTAAGCCTGAGAATATTCTTCTTGTATAGAGAGCTGACCACTTGCTTAACCAGTCCAACGTTGTTGTCCTGGAGGAGAAAATATAACATCTCTTGTCAATAGGGTGCACCTACAGTTATTAACAACTAGCTAAGAAGAATTCCACACATTATTCATAAGCAGAATTTGCTTATAAAGAACAAAGAATATGTTGAGATCTGCCTTACTACATCAGCAGAATTAACAAAAAAGACAATTCTAATATGGATCTGAACCATCTGGACAATTCAGTCAATTCATACAATATTCCTACCACTCTATTGGACTATTTAAAAGTTTTAGGGAAAACTCTCCAAATATAGCCATTTCCTTTTATTTGCCTTTCAAATAAATTGGGAATACAAAACTTTCTTACTAAAAAAGTTAAAAAACAAACTTAGGAGAAAATTATGAGAAGGGTTATAGATTACTAAAGGTGTTCTATACACTATAGAATAATTTCATGGCTAATAGATAACCCTTAACTGCTCATTAGATATTTTACCTACCACTCTAAATGTTTCTTCACTCTTTGTGGCTACTGTTCGCACCTCATTAGGATTGTTTGAAGAGTAACTGGACGCAAGTTCATGATATGCAGCACTCAGAGGCTGAGATCTAAGGATATAAAATACATATCTTTTAAAATAAAATGTACAATGTTCCCTATAAAGGTTAGCTAGACAGGTGATGATGTTGTCAAAAGGCTTTATATTGGAAAACATAAACAAATTGACCACTTTTATAAATGGCTGCTGGATTAATATTCTTTTGGTTAAATTTAAATTTTGGTTAAATTCAAATTAGCCTTTCTGGCTTCACTTGAGATAATGTATTCTTTTGAATTTTGTACTGGAGAATGAGGCCAGAAAGGCTAATTTAAATTTAAATAAAAGAATATTAATCTGGCAGCCATTTAAGAAAGTGGTCTATGATGTTTTAAATTATTATTTTTTGTTTTTGTTTCAGAGACTTGTTCATTGTTTTATAGTAACAAATACAGTGTACACCTCAAGGATAAGCAGAAAATGTGCTCATTGAATACTTTTATTTATTTTCTAAGATTTAATCAATAAATAAAGTTTGCCTTTTTGGAAGATTTGATATAAAATCTTTTTTGTTTTTTTTTTCCCTCTCACCTGTGTTCATTTCTTTGCTGGAAAATATATTACATTATTAAAAACTAGATCATTGGATAATGCAATTCAAGACTTTTTATTGGCTTAGCCATAATGTTATATCAGCCAATATACCATAATCTACACATATGGCAAGCATACGTGTCGGCTTAAAATTAAAAAGGAGCTAAAAAATATGATAAAATTTAATAAAATTTAATAATTTAATTTAACGTTTTTAATAAAACAATTATTGCACTTGTTGGATATGAGATGATTATAGCCAACTCTATCATCTCATATCCAATGCGTGCTCATGGTATAATTGTTAATTACACTGTATTACATAATTCACTTTGAAAAACCAAACAAGTCATAAACCATTTCAATAAATTTGCATAGATCAATACCACTTTCAAGAGGACAGTAAGAGTTGCAGTCAAATTAAGATTTTTATTAATGAGAAGTACTTAAATTCTCCCTCACCTTAAGGAATCTCATTACCACATGTGAAGTGTATTTTGGAAGGTCCATTATCTGTTGAGTAAGTCAGTTTTTTGGTTAGCTATATTTCCTTGAAAGTTGACACATAAAAATAAGGCTTTTATAATCATGTTAAGTGATATCTGGAAGCTTCAACCCATTTCCAAGTTCTGTTCTAAAAGTTCACCCCTGTATTAATGCATTTACCCGATCAGATACAGCAAGTTTGCCTCCACATTTACCACTTTGTCCAGGAATCTTTCAAGCTCATTTCCTCGCACACAGAATGTGTTCCCTTTTTGACAAATTGCACATGTTTGGATCTTTTCTGGGACCATTAGTATTCCCCACTTCTGTAAAAAAAACAAGTTCTGCCACAGAACCATTGGAGTAAAGATCTGTTGGCCAACTGGTAAAGATGGGGGTAAACTTGTTGTAATGGGAGCAAATTGATTGAGGGTGATATCATAGTGGGGTGAAACCTCCAAAAACCAACGAAGTAACAAACATTAGATCAGTCTTACCTTTCCATGAAGAATGAGGGAAACTAGGATGAACTTTTTGTATGATTCCAACATTATATGACTAACATCTACAGCTGGACAGGTGACTGCCTACAGAAAAAAAAATGCAAGGGTAGAAGTTTGTTTTAAGAGTAAGGGAATTATTGATTTTGAAAACAGACCATTAGAAATTCACTCTCTCACCTAATTTGACAAATATGTGTGACAAATGTTCAATAGAAGGGCTTCCTGACATTTCCTAGCATATCAAGTGCTGTTAAGTTTACTGTTCTTAGATGTGCAGTAGAAATAACTTGTCTACAAGATCAACACAATTTTCTGTCTCATTCAACCTATTTACTACAACTAACATTACTCACCACTTCGTAAAAGTACAGAGCTTTCTCAAAGTTTTTCAGAGCAGTGTAAATCATACCACCATAATAACAGTAACTGAGTAATGCCTTTGCGTCATACTTTCCACCCTGGAGAGAAGAACCAGAAACACTCACAAAACTATCCCTTCTAGCCAAACAAGCTCACCAAGCACATTCTCATAAAATGAGAAATTTGAGGCTCTTTAATTTTCCCTATTTTTGGACTAATATGTTATCTACCAGGTAGGAGGTCTGTTCGGTATGGTTAAAAACTCTACCCATATTCATGACCATAAGGGCACAGTTTTTTCCTACATAGACCAACCAAGACTAGTACTAAATAAATTATACATTTTTCTCTGCCAGTTTACCTTTTTTTTCTAATTAGCCTTGAATGATGCCCAAAAATATTTTGGACTGTGGCTCATATTTTAAAAAGCTGGACTGGTTAGGAGTCTGCAATTAGCAGATTAAATTTAAGGATTTAAAATTCCTCCCCCCTGAGATGGTTGAGATAAAAATAAAAGGCAGTTTTCTCTCTGTTTCCAAGGTTCTTAGCTTTGAAATTCAATTCTTATGATGTTAGTTTTGAGAATTTGGTATTGGATCAACCAACAGTCTCCTAATTTATATTTTTCTTTATTCTCATCACTCATCTGTTGATATCGCATTGATGTGGCAAGGAGAAACTCTGTCTTGGTCACTACTGGGAGTTAAACCTCCAGGTTAGCTCAATGACCCCCTCCAGGTTAGCTCAATGACCCCCTCCCGGTTAGCTCAATGGATAGAGCGCCGGACTGTTAAGCAGGAGGTCGAGGGTTCGAGCCCCAGCCAGACCAACACTCAAGGTCTTAAAATTACTGTGGAGAATGTGCTATCTTTCTATAATGTCAAGAAATGGATAGACATTCTAGTCTTCTTGGATAAGGGCAAATAAACCGTAGGTCCTGTCTCTGGCAGGGTTGGGGTAGGAGACGTTAATTTCCCATACACAAGATCACTGTGTGGTGGATGTCCTTCCCTGGGGTGGGATAGGTGAGTATTAGGGTCCGTAGTAATTGGCGCAAGCTGTTGTGGAGTCCCTGCCCGTCGGCGAGGCTAATAAATTAAATGAAATTAAAATTAAAGAGTCAAGGTTTACTGGGTGGCATACCTCTTTGTGAATATCTGTTATATCTGTATCCAGGAATGGGAGGGCTGGCTTTAAACACTTGGCCAGTAAACAAAGCTGTTGAGATAACAAAAAAAAATAACATCTGCTTTCTGATGTTTGATACATAACATAACAGCTTTAGTGCAAAATGGAGCTTTAAACTGCTGCAAAGTGAACATTTTGTCAACAAGAAATCTTACCTGTGCAAGATCTGAATGAATGGAAGTCAGTTGTGTAGGGGACTGTTGCGCCTTTTTTATTGCAATACACATCATTCTTATTCCTCTCATTGGCTAAAACAAAAAAAACAAGGGTATGCAATTTGTCATTATACTATCAATAACACTAGAATCTTTTCATCCCATTTTAAGCCAACCAATTTAATAAAAAATATTTATCGCTTCAAAATCCACCTTCTTAAGTAAGCCTGTTTTAAATAAATCCTTCGGGGAGAAATCTCCCTGTCTAAATGAACAATTTTTCAGGCCATTGAAATTTAGCCTAAGAATTCCCCGATCTCTGATGCGTAGTAAACAGCTTGAAAACAAAATCTTACCTGCTTGAGATCCACTAAGCAATGCGTTATGAAATGACACAAGTGAGCGACTGTAAACCACAAATATGAAAATGTTAAAGAAAAAAAAAAGAGTAAACAGAACAAAACGACCAAAACTGAATAGTCTGACAACTTACACTTGTCCCCAGCAAATTGGATTTGTTCCTGCGAGCAAATTGTTATGAATTGTTGAATCTGACTGAATAACAACTCAAAGTCTCCATAATTTGGTAAGGATAGTTTTACCAACCTAAGCAATCATCAGGACAAAAATAATCAGTCAAAACGGAAAATAAAGAGGAAAAATCAATCTCAATTGCAGAAAAACAAATTAAACTGAAATATTGACCGAGAAACTTACAATAGAGCCATGAATGCTAGTGAATGCTGATCAGGATCGAGTGATGCGATTGCAGCCTCAATCTGGCCTGCATACTTGGCTAATAATTCATTAGATCTGTTTAAATAATCTGCAAGTTGTACGTAATCTTTATCGGCAGAAATAGATCGCACTGTGGCGAGGAAGTCCTCCATCTTTACTGCGGCTTTGTGGTCGCCTTAGTTTTCCTCGGCTATTCAAATCGAGGCTGGTAAAAGCTGCCGGTTTGACTCAAAATGGCGGGAGAGTCAAGCCAGGCTCAGTGACTGACGAGAAAAAAATATGCCGTTACAGCCTTTTACTTTTGACAAAAAACCAGACATTCGTCTTGTAATATACCAAAATACAGTTTATAAGATTAAGGTGACTTGCAGGCAGTCTTCTAACCGGTAATTTTAAACGCTCGGTATTTACATATTTGATGTTTCTGAAATGTACATGTTGTTGGTGTTGTTATTGCTTTTTAATTAATTACCAAAGCCGTTCCATTTTTTTGATTCCCAAACAGAGAAAGTATTCGACAGTTGTTTTTAGAAGATAAAAACAATAAAGATCTGGAGGTGAGCTCAATTTGGTTGGACCTATGAGGGTCCATTCAAATTTGGAAAACGTTTTTAGAATTAATAGCACTGTTTGATTTCAAGTAATCATTATGCGCGATTTGAACTCCTTCTCCTCAGAGAGTTGTTTGTGCCATATTGAACACACATGATCTTATACCAGTGCAAACAGACAACTTTGTCGTCTATCCTTGTATCCTTTCAACAATACAACCATCAGCACTTAGTAATTATTTCTTTTAACTGTTGACCCTTAGGAGTGATTAACATGTAACTTCTCCCTATAATATCCATACATTATCCAGCAAACAGGTAATGAGAAAACTAAGACTTCTCAGGTAGAAGTTGTCATCTTGATCTGACACTTAATTATTGTCACTAATTTACAAGGAAATGTCTAGCAGTTAGATGGGAAGAATAAACAATCACATCGTAATTGCAGCAAAACTAAATCCATAACATAATTTATTACACGACTTGGGCAGTCAGAGGGCCAATAACTAAAATCAACCAATCAAAATGCTCTATTGCCGGTCAATATTCTCTCAGTATTGGACCGCGCACTGTCCCGAATGGTCCCGAATGATACTGCACTTGTGTTCCTTTGAACTTCAGTCATATAATAAATCTCTTATTAACCGAGTTTGCTCGGGACCGTACTTGGAAGAATATCGGCCCGAGGTCTTTTTTGTACAGACTGAGCTGTGTTCAGTCCGTACTGTCAAGACCTCGGGCCGATATTCTCCCAGTACGGCCCTCGCACTTGGTTAATAAGATATATGTAACTTTCAAAAAAAGAGCAATGACAGGGAAAGAAAAAAATTGGGGATCAAAATTATCCCAGGAAATATTTAAAGTGATGCTGTGTTAGTGTGTCATGTTGGAGTTTCTAGGGAGGTGTTCCAAGACTTAGTTCTTATTAACCAAGCAGGAGGTTTGTATGGGAGAATCTTGACCGAGGTTCCCAGTACAGACCGAATGCAGTGAGGTCTGTACCAGCAACCGAGGTCAAGATTCTCCCATACAGACCAACCTAGCTCGGTTAATAAGATGTTTATTATAATTATGGCTGTGTCTTATATGCCACTTTTTTATATTCTTTTTATCTTTTTTTTCTAGACCAGTGTAGATGCCGGTTTAGATGGGAAAATCTAGTCTAAGACCGCTTTCAATATTGATTTCAGCCAATCAAATAATTTTGTGAATTCAGTAGTTCCCAGTCCTTGTGAAACAGAGCCATAATTATAATAAAGAGACTTAATGTATTACCAAAAAACAGAAGCCTTTTTCAGATTTGATGCTAAAAATGCCCACCTACTCAAATAATTAATTGATAACTTGAGATTGAAGTAATTACAATAATGTTATATTATGTGTGGTAATGGATGTTTTGTAGGGATCTCTGTATAACCAAACACTATTCTAAAACAATCTTAGAACCAAAGGTAATAAATTGTTTTGTCACTGTTTGATTTTATCAAAGAAGTGTATGTGTAAGGAAGTATGGCAATAAATGGAAATCTAGTTGATGTTTTTAAGAGTTGAATTTATAGTAGGAGATGGTATATAATAAACCATTGTCGCTTTATTTTCCAAAAGATCTTTAACCAAATTTTTAGATAAAAACTACTGGGAAACAAGAGAAAGACTGTTGTTTTCCCAGCATGGTCATTTCTTAGAGGCTCATAAATACTCCTTTACATTTTATGTGGAAGAGAAACAACTAATCCACAGGCAAAGCTTAGAAACAGGTATACCAAACAAATTGGATATCATGAATTCTTTAAATATTTTTATATTAGTAATAGTGATATGTAAGTTCTTGTTAAGCGAGTTTCTTACCTCAATGCCCTTTCCATGAAAATAAATTCTAGAATAAATGATAAAATCTCAAGCTGACATATTCAAGACAGTATTGTATGCCTTAAATATCTGGAAAATGTTAAGAAAGAAGACGAATGGAAGTATTTCTTGAATAAAAATGTTTTACGTTTTGTTCTAAATCTGCATTTTTAATATGTTCTTTGATGGTGTCTGATAACTGAGGTACTGTAATGCCTCTGATATTCAAGAATTTATGATTGGGGTACATAATAGTGAAAGGGATAAAGATTGTATGGCCCTACATCTCATCATATTCTTACCTGCCTGTGATTTTTGTCTTCTAGACAGTGCTCGGGAACAAGAAGAGCATCCCAATCCGACTTCAATAGTAAGTGCATTGCATACAACTGTAAGTTCTTGGGGAATAGAACTAAAACATTCCTATATTTGCAATTAGTTTGCAAACAGGTTTTTACAGGGATGTGTTCTTTAGAATAACTGATACCGGTATCATGTTCAAACCAGATATTTTCATTGTTTTTACAGCCAAGTGGTAGCAAAGAGAGAGTTGGTATGTAGCAGGTTTTTTTAATATTTTTCGCATTTTGGTTACCTCAAGTATCAAAGAATCTTAGACAGAAGATAAAGACAGATTTGAATTCATTTTTGTCAGAAGTTTGGAAAAAATACTCTGAGGACTCTGATCTGTGACCTTTCAAGCCTGTTAGACACACTGAAACCACTGTAAATCAGGCAAAGAAGCTCCATTCTTGGCTGTACTTCTAACTCATTCGGACTTCTCTGTTGTTTCCCTTCTTCCAAATTAGTTGCTCTTTATATTTGTACAGCTTATCGAGTAACATTGGTAGTATATTTAGCAGTGTAGGTAATGTAAGTTTTACTTTGTACACATGCTGAATTTATTATTGATGCATCTAGACAATCTTTGAGGAAAATTTCCAAGCATTCAGTGATTTCACAGCCATTACATGTAGGGTTGTTTTAATTTCAGTCACTGAGTATGGACAGAAAAACCGTCATGATGTTGAAGAGAAGGAACTGAAGGAGTTTCTCAGACTTCAAAAGTTGGCAAGTAAAGATGATACGCAAACTGAAGGTAAATGACATAAACAGAACATTTTAAAGAACAAAATATTGAAATAACTGAGAGCAACTTGCAATTGACAGAATTGTCAGCTTAATCACTCATTATCAAATTAATTGTGCATTAAGTTTGAAAAATAAGAGGCTGCACTTTCCAATGTGGTTAAAGATGCCGTTGAATTTTCATATATTTTTAGAGATGAGATCCAAGGTTGCTTTTGTTCAGTTGTAAATTGGTGAATCTATCTGGCCGACCTTATGTAGATATTTAGTTTGAAAGATAAAATGCAAACAGCTTGTGTAAGAGTATCTCATTCCTTTGACAGATAATGAGCGCCCAACTTCAGGACTTCAAAAAGTATTCAAGTATGAAAATGTGATTGTATTTCCCCTCTCTAGTGGTAAACAGAACAGAAAAAACACTTTTTAATGATAAGTGTTTTTCTTTTTTCCTGGGTTTCCTTTCATCATGGAAAATCTGAAAAGTCATGGAATTTGTCAACATCATTTTCCAGGCCTGGAAAGTTATGAACAGTCATGGAGTACATTTAAAATTATATTTCTGAGGAAAAAAAAAATTAAGAGAGGCCATGTTTAGAATATAATTTTCATATTATTTGAAACCATTTCAGTCCAAGAATATTTTGTGGAAACAGATGGAATTTTATAGTCTTGAATATGTAAAAACCATCATTCTGTCTTTCTTGAACTTATGTTTAATTCCACCATGTCTATAAGCCCTAAGGGTTGCTTCCAACATGCTTATTGGATTGAAGCTTACCATTTGTATTTCAGTGCCTTGGTTTCTCCAGTGCGGTCATTACTTGGAAATTAAAATATCCATTTACTGACAGCATCATCAGACCCATGAGGAAGAAAGTTGTCTTTTTGGTTTGAGCCCAACAGAGGAAAAGAATCCAGCATAAAGAATAACCAATTTCCAAAAAGCTGAGTTGAATTTTAAATTGTATGTTGTGTGATCAAATTTATCCCTAAAGTACAGTTTTATCAATTTTTTATACTTCACACAAAAGACTTGAATTTAACTTATTATAATATTGTAAACATTTGAGATGTCATTATGTAGCTTTTGTAATGCAGTTCATTAATAAAATTAAGAAGTCTTTCAGGAGAAAGAATTGATAAGCTCACAAGGTTGGTGTATTTTTCTCTGATCTTTGTCAATAACAGCTATGGCAGATCCAGGGGAGTGAGGTGATCAAACCCCTGAACTATGATGTTTTTCAAAATGTTAATGATGAACTTAACCATGTATTAAGTTACCAATTTCTGTATTTATAAGGGATCTACTCTTGACAATTCTTTTAAGATCACTGCTCCTTTCCAGCACTCATTTTCAAATGAATGTTTAAAACAGAAACTGTGGGTCACCACCTGAAATTTTCCCCTGGCTCTTCTTTCTGAATGTCATGAAAACCTTTCTCCTAAAAGAAGCTTTTGGCAAGGGGGAGAACATTGATTGATATCCCAAAGAATGGCAGGTACAATTTACGCTTCTTAAAAATTTAGCTGATTTCCTGTCTTCAATTTATCCATCCCTGGTCATTGTTGTCCCATTCATTAATACACCTGTTAAATGTTACAAATGAGTAGCACACTTCAGAGTCTCTCTCTCAACTACACCATGTGAACAAAGGGATGCAAAACAACTATTGCAACGGAATCAGACTAAAACTTTTTGTGTTAAATATCACCAGTTTCTTCCGTAGGACAATTGACAAGAAGAAGAATCTTCATGAAAGAATCAGTTGTTTTTGTGTTCATTGTCTCTGTCATTCTTTTCCATTGGAGTTGGTTCTTCTCTCCTAAAACAACAAACGATGTTTAGTATTTTTCATGAGTAAGGAACAATTTCAACTGTAAAGCATATTGCTCAAATACATATAAGATGTCTTGCAGGTAGAGCCAACTCTGGACCATGGTCAGTTAGGTTGGGTCAGCAAAGCATGGCAATCTCTCCTCTGCCCCACTAGACAATTATCAAACATTTTCGAAATATTTGCTAATAAAAAGAAATACACACAAGTTAGAAACATGAACAAGCCCAGCTAGGTAATGTTATTTATTCACAATCACTGATCAGATATAAAATTGCCTCATTTTCTTAAAATCAAACGTGACGTTACCTCCCACCAGCATAAGTGGGGCCCACTGGGAAGTTTTGTTGAAGCCGTTGCTTCTGAGCCACTTCCTGCGCCTGGTGAAGAGATTCACTGGCACTTTCTCCACGGTCTCGGTGTTGGTAGAAATGCTTCCTGAGCTGTTCTGTTGCTTCGTCGTCTATAGCCCACCTTGTGGCTAGCTCTGAACGTGCACCGGATGCTAAGAACGTTGTGGCGATTCCAATGACTCCCTCAGCTTTGATCAGTCTACGCCCACTGTGACAACAGCTTAGTACAACAAGTTTAGCACGCACTCGAATGTTTGAAATATCAGACATTGTCAAAAGGAAGTCTTGTTACTCGGGAAAGCGTTTGGTACAACCATTAGTGGAAAGGGCAATTTCCCCTCTTTCAGCCTCCCCATGTGCAGCCAGATGTATCAAGCTCACTAATGGTATGGCTTGCAGCACGGCCTCCCTTGTTGCATGCACTGCCAACAAAGGTTGAACGCCCAGGATTTGACCAACCCCATGTGCTTCCTTTCTTGCGCCAGGTAATGGTACAAAGGTCCTGAGACGTTCCTTGTTGTATACCCTGCCAACCGTTGGATCACCCACAACCAGTGCGCCTGTCTGACTGTGATAGTCCGCTGAACATTCCTGAATGACGCTGAGAGTCATTAGGGAAGGGACGATGCGGATCCAGTGCGTGTTTGATAAACACTCTCCGGCTGGCCCGACACGTAGGGCAGGAAACGGAACACGGTAAGAGGAACGCACCGACACGATGATGATTTCAGGCTCTGTCAGTAAATCTACCACAGGAGCAATAATCATTTTATGACACAAGTGAAGAATTCTTTCGTCATCTTTGGTTTCATTACCTTGCGAAGAACGGACTTCGAAATTCTCGTGGGGTTTGATGCCAAAGCTGACTGCACTTTTCCTAAAGATTTGCTCTACATTGACAACCGACTCTGCACGGAGAACGTCGTCATTCAGGATAGCAGAGATTCTCACGTGAATGTTCCCATTTGATTTTAAAAGCCAAAGACGAACAGACCGCTCAGAATACGACATGTACAAGACAGCACAGTTTCTCTCTTTCATCACAATGTTTTCAATCCCAAACTATGATTTTAAGCCAGCTGAGAGTGGGTTATCAACGGAGAACTTGTCCGCCATGAGTTCTGAAAGTTTTTAGCTCGTTGCAGCCTCCAAGGATCCTGTACCCTCTCCCTTCTTGTTTCTTGTCTTCAATTTCTCTTGCGATGGCAAGTTCTTTCTTATGATGTTCCTGAGCCTCCTGGTGTTCACCTAAACATGTAAACAACATTCCAAGTTTCCCATGCTGTCTATTCTCGTCTTCTCTATTACCAATCTCTGTTGCGATAGTGTGTGCCTTCTCGCAATGTTCCTCAGTCCCCAGGTATTCACCAAGCCCTAGAAACACATCTCCAAGCTTCCCGCATTCATTCCCTTGTCATTCACCAAGCCCTAGAAACACATCTCCAAGCTTCCCGCATTCATTCCCTTGTCATTCATTTCAGTTGCGATGGCAAGAGCTTTATCGTAATGTTCTTTAGCCTTCTGATATTCACCAAGCGATTGAAACACAGTTCCAAGGTTTCCATATAATCTCCCATCTTCTCTCCTGTTGCCAGTTTCTATTGCAATGGCAACTGCTCTTTCGGTGTTTTTCTTTTTAGCCTTCTGGTATTCACTGAGTGATTCAAGCATAGCTTCAAGTGACCGTACACTTCTACTACTTTCTTGTCACCGATTTCTATTGCTATAGCAAGTGCTTTCTCGTGTTGTTCTTTAGCCTTATGGTATTCACTAAGTGAGTGAAGTACACCTCCAAGGTTTACAAAGTGTCTCGCCTCTTCTTTCTTGTCGCCAACTTCTTTTGAGATGACGAGTGCTCTTTCGTGATGTTCTTAAGCTCTCAGGTATTCACCAAGCGATTCAAACATAACACCAAGGTTCCCGTTCATTGCTCCTTCAGCTTTCCGGTCACCAATTTCTATTGCAGCGGCAAGTGCTTTCCCTAGATTTTCTTTAGCCTTCTGGTAATCACCAACCGAGTGATATGCAGTTCCAAGGTTCGCGTTCATTTTTCCTTCAGCTTTCCTGTCACCAATTTCTACTGCAATGGAGAGTGCTTTTTCGCGTTGTTCTCTAGCTCTCTGGTATTTACAAAGCGAAAGAAATACAACTCCAAGGCTTCCAAAGTGTCTCACCTCTCCTTCTCTGTCACCAACTTCTTTTGCAATGATGAGTGCTTTTTCGTGATGTTCTTTAGCTCTCAGGTATTCACTAAGCGATTCAGACACATTTCCAGTGTCTATTGCAATGGCGAGTGCTTTCCCTAGATTTTCTTTAGCCTTCTGGTAATTACTGAAGGATTGAAATACAAGTCCAAGTCTGTTGTGATTTAATAATCCACCTCTCTTGTCACCAGTTGCTTTCATATGGTGAGAGCAATTTCAAAAAGTAGCTTCTACAAACCGAATTTGATTTCGATACTTGTCTCCCAGTTCTCTGGTTAGTATTCCAACGTCATTTAATACTTGTACTTTAGAGATATCAAGGTGAATACCAAAGTCTAGATGGATGAGTAAAATTAGACATTCTTTCAGTAATTCAGTCGCTTGCAGGACACGATCAGTCTTCAGAAGAAATATGGCAACATCCAAACCTATCTGGATCCCATTTAGGATTTCTTTTGTGTCGTTTATTACGGCTCCCCCTGGTACTAAAAAAAATATATGAAAAAAATGAAGGTGTGTTCCTCGCATTTGAGCTGCAATTAAACTGAGAAATTGCAAGAAAGGTTTCAATGGTATTCAAACCCTTGCCACCGTGTAAGAACACAGTATGAACCTGATCAGAAAAAAGAAGGAAATTGCCAAAAGCCTGAGATAAAAAAAGATCGCATTCCATCTTTATCATGAGATACACAGTATAGCATTGCAGTTAGTCCGTTTTACAGGAGAATTTTCAACTCCTCAAATTGTTTGTTGCCGTGCGCGAGTTTCAGTCACCTAACTCCAGGACCTGATTGACATGGAACTTCTCCTTTTCAATAGATCAGCATATGATGTGGCCAACATATAATTAGAAAAGAAAAACTTGTTAGTAGAAGAGTTTTATCTGGATAGAAACCAAATTGGGTTTGCTAATTTACAAGAAAATGTATCGGCGTTTGAAGAGAGATTTGCGAATCAGATCTTAGTCAAAATTGTGGCGCAGACCTCTTTGTTTTGATTTAAATTTTAAACACAACTTGAAGCTGTGGTTTGCAACGAATCTTCACCAGCGGCTGCGACATTTTACATCTCTTGAGCTCTCAACATTAGATCAAGCCAAGTTTGTCCAAATATTTTCATTTTGAGTATTACTTAATAAGTTGATTTTTTATCGCTTACATGTATCTCTGGAAAAAGAAACTTCACGGTGCCCCTGATTTAGGTTTAGATTGTGTGACCAAAAAACTGAAATTAGACTTTTCCTGAAAAAGAAAGACAAATGAAACTAGCAGGATGTAAGAAAAAAATTTCAACTTGAATAGTAAGATCCTCCATTAGAATCATACTTTCTGTCTGAAATATGTTCCCTCTCGGGCCAAGGAAGTATTTCGCTGAGCACAAATTTCTCACCTCCTCCGTCACCCTTCCTTGAATTCTCATTTATCACTACCCGACATTTTATCTATAAGCTCTTAATTAAGTTGTTTGCTTATCATGAAGTGTAAGAAGAAAAATCTTGAAGCGTTTCCATACGCCCTGTGAATAAGACGTATTGGATTACTTGAGCAATAGAGGACTTTTTCTGCATATACAAAGCCTCATCTAAATTAACACGAGGAGGTTTGGAAGAATTCGAGAAAGATGGGCTAACCTGAGATGCAATCGGGAAGGTTTTCATTACTTTCAAGAATTCTCTCAACCTCTGAATGTTAAGGTGGGGATATGTAATCGCAAAAAAAAAAAAAAAAGAAAAACCTCCACTGATTGCCCGTATGAAATATCCAAAAACAAAAACCAAAATTCAGCAAATGAGAATGTGACATCTCAACCGTATTTACACACACCTATCGTCCAGTGAAAGCGCGCGCACCATCCTTAATATTTTATAAAAGCCAATCGAAATCAGCTTATCGTACCTGATGGTATGAGCGTAGAAATGTCATTGAACCGCGTTACTATCTAGCAGTGACCTGTGACCATAAGAAAGACGAAACGGCAAGGTGAATACATGGTTAACCTGTGGTTTATGGAAAATTACATTAGTTTGGACTTATGTGGCTTCACGAGTTATCCGATTACTACAATCTGGATTATAAGTCACAATTTTGGCCCGGAGTTCATCTATAACCATATTTACCAGCATACATTTAACCTTGAGAATACAGGTAAGTATAAAAACTGGCGCAGATAAGCTTTATACATGTACGCATTAGGTAACTAGCTAGCTGTTTATTCTACCTACGTCTATACTCCATTGTTCCTCACTGTTTCAATTCCATAATAGTGTTCTTGTTTTGCTGACTTTCTATCGAAGGTACTGCAATCATTTTAAGCTGGTGCAGTGGTTATACTGTGTTGAAATGGCTCTTAGTCATCTATACTGGGCTTGCTTAGGAGAAAAGTACTTCCATATGCTAATCTCGTTGAACTAACTTATGTATCACTGAATTTAGACAAGGCAAGTATTCCGTCTTATTTTAAGTTTAAAGCTTGGTTGCCTGAAAATCTTATATGAGTACAAGGCTATTGTCAGGTAGAGTTTTCAAAGACACCTCAGTTTAGCAGGATAGATAATAGATTTGTTGTTTGGTTTCGTTACGTCCGATTTCACATAGGGCATCAATGCTAATCATGAATGGGAAATCAAACAGAACCTTGTCTCTACATCGACGAATAAAGCTATGTTTAGTAAAATTGTGCTATTTTTTCTAAGAAAAGTTGAGCGCTCTGACTGGCCCTTACCTAGCTCACTATTAAGACATTGTTTCAGTTGCTTTGATATACCAATTGCAAGTAAAGAATTCAACAACATAATTTATCTGTATAAGTTCCTGAAGTCACTTAATTCCTTTGATGAATGAAACTGCGAATCCTCTGTTTTATTTTTAGTGGAAAGCTTCAGAATAATCCGGCGAAATAAAGGGCTTATCAGAGAATGCTTACAAATTAGGTACAAAATTGTTGATGGTGACAACAGTGAAAAGGGACGTGGCTAAATAAAGAGGCTTGAGGCATACAATATTGACCAAAAATGATCAGGCAGAAAACAAAATCACTGATTCAAATACTAAGTTCAGCTAAAGACTACACTGTATCACAGTTCTTGAAAAGTTTAAGGAATGACTGATCACACAGACAAATGAAGAAGAAATTGGCAATTTCAATGTCCCTCTTCACACACGAATAATTATGTCGCGAAATATTATTCATCGCTTGGGGCAAAACATTTCACTGAGTCTGCAAGTTAAAAGTGTCAGGGGTGTGCGCATTTTTCTTGAAAAAAAAAAAGGGTAAAAAAATAAATCCCGCCTAAAAAATACAGAAGGGTTTCTACACTACTCGATGGCGAGGAATTCAAACCTTCCCTCATCTACTTCATCATTTTCCGTCTAAAATGATGTTAGGATATTGCATTTCCCAAAGAGCTTTAACTTCAAAAGCCGGGGTGCTTGAAAGATTGTCTCAGAGAGGTTGCAACCCGTCCAGCTGAATTGTCATCGAATATAAAATCAGGTCCGGCTGTGTAAGATTGCACCCGTAGAATAACTGTTAAAATAAATACCGCCTGATTTATTTTTAGGAATTTATTAATATACATAGAGTGTTTGATCCTCTGATTTCTAAATATCTGAATATTTTCAAAATGAAAAGGTTATATATTTCACGTTGGCAAAATGCAAAATCCTTTGCACGAAAATGGCGTTACATCCCTTCAACGACGAGCAATTGAATTATTTCAAATTCGCTGCAATTGCTTTGAATGAATTTCCCAGAGCATTGCGCCAGACATTCAGATCGATGTGGGACAACAGTTTTGGACCTCGTCCTGGCTATCAACCTTGGGATGACTCCGTTGTAGTTAGAAATCTATTTCTTGTTGAAGAGGGTGGCACAACAAGAGTTCCAGTGCACCTCTCATTCGATGAGTGGGATTGTACTGCCCTGTTTCAGGCCACCCTCTATGCCCATTCGTTCAGTTTACCGGCTAGCAGAGGTCATTACAAGACACTTGGTGAATTGTACGTGAAACCCCGTAAGTTAGCCCGTGGAACTTTTCATGTTTCTGTGTTCAGCCCTAGGGGAGACAGTGCTGAAACGTTAGCTCTCGCTATTGATCAATTGCGACTTTTAAGAAATTCACTTTGTCACTCGCACAGCTCTGAAATTAGTAAAGTTACTTTTGATCAGTACATTCAGCACTCCAAAGACGCATTTGCTGCCCTTGGTGTCAACTCAGGCCAACTTGATGTCATAGCAAGTTTGTCAGAGTCGGACTTTCCCATACAAAGAGTTCAGGAATTGCTGGAATGTATCAACGAGGAGAATCGCGCATATTCAAGATTTCTCGAGGACACCATGAGTTTAGGTATAGAAACTATCCAAGAGGAGGCTGCTGCAACCAGAAAAGACATCGCTGTGTTGAGCCAAGAAATCAACGCAGGTAACTAGTTCAACCTCCCAAAGTGATTTTCCTTTATGTTCGAAAAGCATTAATAGTTGTCAAGCAGAACTAGGCAGTTTTATTAATTGCGAGAGCTCTAGTATGCACCAGATGAAAACAAAATGAATTTGTGGTATTCGAACACCCTCCACCAAGAACCATGGTAATTTTGCTAAAGGAACTTCCAGATTTAGATGTGTAACGTCAGTTGCTTAAAAATTATACAAATACTCTTAGGAATTTTTCTCGAACCAAATCAATGCCATGCGTGTTCTTGCTATGAAATAGTCCTGGACCCATGCCTGTTTGTCTATGTATCTTTTTAACCTAATAGTAATTGTTGTGTATCTTGATGACCCAAGAATCATATTACGATTTATGCTCTCCTTTCAGTGTTCAGTGGCTGAGATCATATTATTTTTCAGTTTGATTTTGACGATTTGGCGCCATTCTTAAGAATTTTGTTATTTTCGGATAGCTATGCATGTTGTGATCAACATTGAGAGCATCACACGAGCACGAACAGGGAGAAACCAACCGTACAGAAGGTTACAATTACCCGATGGTACCCCTGGATCTCCCACGACGTATATTGATCAAGGCCGAAGACCAGCGCAGAGGACGGAATGTCCAGCAGAGCTTCAGCTAAATGCTTTAGATCACTCGACAGAGATTCAGATGTGGGATGTCATTTTGTCCTTCAAGAAAGCTTTTGGAGTATTTTTACAATATTTGACTTGTAAACTTAAGGTCTTAGTACGTAGCCATGATAGGGGAAGTTTGATAATCACAATTGAATGCAGCTCTTTGCAGATCCTCGAAGGATTCTGGGAAGATTACCGCAGTGGCCTCCTTAACAATGTGGCCCAAGAAATGCTCGTGAGACCGGAGGTTTTGGAGAAGCTTGACTGTACTGAAATCAAGCTGAAAACCTTTATTTCTGAGGAGGAATACGAAGAAGGAAAACAGATCTTCAAGAACAGCTCAAGTAAGTCATCAAGGTCTCCCACCGACGTGCCAGCGAGTGAAACCACAGAATTCCAGACATACTTAAACTTTAAAAGGGGATGAGTTTCTAAGGAAACGGCGGTTCCATTGTCTTTCAGCAGTTAGTTGAATCTTCAGCTCGCTAAATGAACTAATGACTTACTCAAATGTGTAAGAAATGGGACTGAAGACAGATACGTCTAAAATAAATACCTTTATCGCTCAGAGTGGGCAAAGGTCCTGCGGAGGACTGGATTTCGCGTGAAAGGAAAATTATAATTTTTTAAATTAATGCCACAGACAACCTTAGAAAAAAATTGTCCAAGTACTACCAACAGAAGTCTACCTAGTGAGTAGCCACAAATGGAACAAGTTTTCAGTCGTAGGTTGAAGAATATTTGTGACATGAACTCTTTGTAACATACTGGCCTAGTATGATAGCTTCCTGGGGATGCACCTGAAGTACGAGTTTGATTCGGTATGGGAGCAATTGGAATCTTTTGAAAGTCTCCAAATGTCTGTCAAAAACAATGCGTCATTTTTCGTTTAAATCACCAAGCTCAAAATCAACCATTTTCATTTCCACCGATTTAGTGCACGTTCATTGCAAGCAGACTGACACAAAGTCTGCAGTTGATACAATATTGTGCTACTTTGTTTACTAATATTGCAATCTTACCTCAGTTTTTCAGTCTGAATTGCGTACAAGTGATGTAATTCGGAAATGGCCAGGAGAAGAAGCCTCAGAGAAAGCTGACACTTATCATTTATTAGGATGCAAGCAATATATCTCAGAAGACTTTACCTCCGCGCTTCGGTCTCATCAGGGTGCGCTTGCCATCAGACGCAAACTGTATGGAGAGGAACACTCAGACACAGCTGACAGTTACCAACTAATCGGGTGCACGCAAAACGAGTTGGGGGACTTCACTTCAGCCCTTCAATCTGCAAAGCGTGCGCTTGATATCAAAGGGAAGCTCTTTGGAGAACAACACCCCGACACAGCTGACTGTTACCACCTGCTAGGGTGGACCCAACATGAGCAACACGACTTTGCCTCAGCTCTTCGATCTGCACAGAGAGCCTTGGGCATAAGAAGAGAGCTTTTTGGAGAAGTTCAATCAAGCACAGCCTATAGTTACCATTTACTTGGTTGGACCCATCATGAGTTAAACGACTTTAGCTCAGCTCTTCAGTGTGCACTGCGTGGGCTTCGTATCTGACTTAAAATTTTTGGAGAAGAAGACATAAGGACTGCAGACAGTTACTATCTTCTTGGATGGACGCTTTATGAGTTAGGCAATTTTGACTCAGCGATGCAGTCTGCATGGCGTGCGCTTCACTTTAGACGGACGCTGCTTGGAGAAGAACACCCAGACACAACTGACAGTCAGCGATTAATCGGGTTGACGAGATCTGCCCTTTACATTCGACGGAGGCTATTTGGAAAAGAACACCCACGCACAGCTGACAATCAGCGATTAATCGGGTTAACGAGATCTGCGCCTTACACTAGAGTAAAACGGAGGCTGCTTGGAGAAGAACACCCAGACAAAGCTGAAAGTCAGCAATTATTCGAGTTGACGAGATCTATGTTAGACGAATTTATCTTTGCTCCAATTCACGCTGACGAGCCTTGATGTGTTTGCAGAAGAATATTAAAAACAGCTGACCTCGAACCACCTCTGCGGTCTATAGATCATGCTTTAATCCGGCGGCCAACTCAGTGTAGCTTCGCGCGCGTGCGGCAGAGTCCCATACACATGGAATATGGTCAACCTCTTTTCGTTTGGTTGTCACGTGACTGACCGAGCGTACGTACGTACATACGTACGTGCCTTCAGATTGCACGGGTAGGGTAGGGGAGACTATCAAAACGAAGGGAGGGGTGTCTCAGGCTAGTCTTGGCAAATGCATATCTTTTACGTTATCATTAATATAACGAACTTGGGAGCTCCGCTTTTAGGCTTGGCTAAATCAATATTATTATTATAACTAGTATCAAGATTATCATTCTTTCCAGTTACCAGCAATGTCATTTTTATGGTTTGCTATAAATGTTGTTTTCCAGGGGAAACCTGTTTCGCAGCTGAAGCATCGAAAATTTTATTTATGTTTTGGGCAAACCCTTTAAAAATTTAGGAGGCCAAGAGGAGTGCCATTCAAGTAATGAAAAAATTGGCGGCGAGATCCAGGTGTCCCAGCTTCACATCTCGCAAAGAAGTGCAAAGGTTTATAACCTATCAGTTCATTCCTGAAAGTGTTAGTTGTTACGGCATCAATTTACTCGAGGACCTGTTGAGAATAAAACTGACCCACCTCTCGTGTCAAACGCTTGCTTCGATCGCTTTTAAAAGAGATTAGAGAGATTTAGCACCGCGTTACCGCGTTACAGTTTCCCCTTTCACGTTTCACGTAAAATAGCGTCAACCTTACTGCGTAAGCTTCGCGTAAGCTCTCGTCATGATAGATTAAGGCGCCCTTGTATGCAAACGTGAGAAAATGGCGGGAAAAACGTGGTCACGTGGTCACTCTTGCCGTTCACGTAAATGCGGTGCTAAATCTCTCTAATGAGTGATTTCATTCACCACACAGCGTCTTGAATTGTGTTTAAATTCTTACTGGTTACTTGCGTGGCGTGCGACTGAGCAGTTACACATTTTTATCAGCGTCGCACGAGCGTTTCTTCGCCCGCAAGGAAGTTCAGAGGCCATGAGGAAAGCGAGCTGGCGAGAGGGATCTGGCACTAACATCAGTACCAATCCTCTTGCACACCTCTCGCCGCGCCGGCTCGCTTTCCCAGCAGACTTTTCCTAGCGTAGCCTTATAGAGCGTTTGCAGATGACGTCACAAATTTCGCGGGAAAGTTGAGTCGCCATGTTGGTGAACGACGTTTTACAACATGGCGGGATATCCTCTCTCAGATTATGCGAACACACTGGATCCCCACCTGAGAAAACGTTATTTAGAGAAGATTTCTTGTGTTGGAATCGACCCTCTCTCGTTATCAGATAAAAAATACGATCCATAGTGCCTGCCTCTGGTCGAATCGATGGATTTATTGTTGTTTTTGGTGGTTGACACGAGTTATTACAGTAAGGACTATTTTAAGGCGTATAGAAGTCTACAGAACATGGCTGTAAACATGAAAGTGTTGCTATTGAAACTTATGAAAAGATCATGAAGGAAAAGCACATCAACTTTCAGGTAACGAAATGTGGCACGTTTACCAATAAACAATATCCATAGTTACATGCCACACCTGACGTTTTGTGTAGGTGTGATTGCTGTGGGAAT